ATTTATTGTTTTCTTTTAACATAAAAATCTGTGCAAATTTGTATTTGGGGTCTTTGCACCTACTGAAGGGCCTTTGACCCACTTTATTATGCATGCTTTGCTAATAAATCAAACAGTTCAAACATTGTTTCTCAATTATAAATCCACTTGTGACACTTGCCACAAAAATGGGGGGAAAATTCCATCAAAGCCAACCAATACTTTAATCACATTTGATAGTATATGCGATGTTTTGTGTGCACCCCCACCCCCACCTCTACAAAAAGGGCAGAAAGAAGGGCATTTTTTTTTACCTCTTCTCTGGGACTATTTGGTTATTATAATTATATTTTGTTCAATATCATTTTGGTAGTGTTCATACATTTAAATGATTGTAGTTATTACGTATATTATGTTTCTAATTCTGCTTACACATAAGCTACAGGTGCTACTAGTGATGACAGCACTTATAGTTGCTTGTTTCTAGTATTTCCTTACCTCTTCATCCCTCTTGGTAAAACATGGTCCATCCACTTTATTCACAGCCATGATTACAGCTACAACATCTTTTCCATTCATTATGGGGGTAGCCAAGATGTTTTTGGTCTTGTATTCTGTGAGATGATCGACAAAGTCACAGAAATGCTCATCCTGAGGAGCAAAGGAGTAAATGCATGAGTCATCATTGGGCTCATTAAAAGAAAAAAGAGATAATACTGTTCATTTCTCTTGATCTACTGATTAGGCATCTGTTTCCTTTGTAACAAGAAAGCAAAGGCAAAATGGGAATCATATATTAAAGAATTTATAGACTCAGAGACTTTTAGAGTCAGAAGGAACCATAGAAGTCATCCAGTGCGACCTCTTCATTTTGTTGATGAGAATTCTGTTCCAGAGGAGGGAAGTTGCTCCAGGCTACACAGCCAGGGAGGGGCAGAGCTGGTATTAGAAGGGACATCATCATAGATATAGAGCTGAAAAGGACCTTAGAGGGACTTAATCCAACCTTCTCATTTTATAGATGAAGAAACTGAGGCCCAGAGAGGTTAAATGACTTGACAGAGGTCAAGTGCAAGAAGTAACAAAGCCAGGATATGAACCCAGGACTTCTGACTCCAAAGTCAGCTTTCTTTCTTCTGGGCCATACTGCATCTCCTGAGTCAGAGCCCTCTGTTATGAATGCTTAGAAGCAAGTTTCCCAAGCATCTATGTGAGTCAGAACCAGGAAGAGCAGACTGATTGCACATGCTCCCAGGGTTTTCGTTGATCAATTACCTATTATATGTGTATACAGATAAGTATTTATAAAATATATACAAAGTAAATGGAAAGTGGTGTGTGTGTGTGTGCACTAACAAATAGAAAGATCAAGAATAGTTTCCTTTAGATTAGGGGTTCTTAGCCTTTTTTTGTATCATGGAGTTCTTTAATGGTCTAGTGAAGTCTGTGAATTTCTTCTCTGAATCACTGTTCTTTTTTTTTTTTAATCTGTAATTGGAGCAGCTAGATGGCACAATGGATAGAGCACCAGTCCTAGAGTCAGGAGGACTGAATTCAAATCCAGCCTCAGACACATAGCATACTAGCCGTATGACTCTGGGCAAGTCACTTAACCCCAATTGCCCTCACCAAAAAAAACAAACAAACAAAAAAACCTGTAATTTAAGTGTTAAATTTCAGTTAGAGTTTAGTGAAATTAAGAAGGTAATTTTTTTTTCTCATCGAAGTTCATGGACCCCCTGAATTCTGCTCATGGTTCCTTAGGTATCTATGGACCCCAAGTTCTTTAGATGGTGGCAGATGTGCTATACTTAGAAGGAAGTTAGGGATTCTCTGAAGTGATATGACAGGAGAGTGCCTTCCAGGAATGGAGAACAACTTTGCATGGAGACATGAGAGAGAATTCTGTGAACAAGCAAGTAGAACATTTTGGCTAGAGCATAGAATATGTGAGGGGAAGTAATTTGAAATGTAGGCTATAACCAGATTGCAGAGGACTTTGAATGCTAAATAGAGGAGTCTATATTTTATCTTAGAGGTAAGGGGGAGCCATCAAAGCTTCTTGAGCAGAAGAGTAGCATGAACAGACCTGTCTTTTAGGTCTGTGTGAAGGATGGATTAGTGAGGCAACAGATTTAGGGAGTGTCTGTGAATGGAAAGAAGGGGACAGATGTGAGAAAGTCTGTGGAGGTAGGATCAACAGGACTTGGTGACTGATTGGATATGGGAGGTGAGGAGGGTGAATGTTGCAGACCTGATAAAAATGGTGGTGGCCCTTGACAGAAATAAGGAAGTCAGGGAAAGGGCTGGATTTGGGGGAGAAGAAAATGAGTTTTATTTTATGTTGCATTTGAAATGTCTATGCGACATTCAGACGGAGATGTCAATTGGCAATGGGAAATTGCAGTTCAAGAAAGAAATGGGGACTGGATATGTAGATTTGGGGATCATCTACATGGAGATAATAATTGGGTTCAAGGAAACTAATAAGCTCTCTGAGAGAGAGGAGGAGGCCCAGGGTAGAATTTCAAGGTACACTCACGCAAAAGAGGGGCAAGAGATGAATGATGATCAAGCAAAGGAGACTAAGGAGTGACCAAATAGGTAGGAAGAGAATAGGATAGTGCAGAGTCATGAAAACCCAGGAAGTATAGAGTGTCTAGGAGGAGGGAGCAGTTAACAGTGAAAGCTAAAGAGAAGTTAAGAATGAGGACTGATAAAAGGAATTTGATTTAGAAGTTAGGAGATCATTGGTAACCTTGGAAAGAACAATTTTCATTGGGTGGTGGGGTCAAAAGTCACATTACAAGGGATTGAAACCTTAGTGAGAGGTGGTTGGCAAGGTTTAGAGATAGCTTTTTCTAGGAATTTGCTAGTAAATGGATAACTAACATTTATATAGCACTTACTATGTGCCAAACACTTCACAAATATTATTTTATTTTATCTTCCCAACAACTTTGGGAGGCAGGTGCTATTATCAACCCCATTTTACAGATGAGGAAATTGAGGCAAATAGAGGTTGAGTGACTTGCCCAGGGTCACAATGCTACTAAGCGTCTGAGGTCAGAATTGAACTCAGATCTTTTTAACTCCAGATTCAGCACTCTCTCCACTACCCTACCTTGCTGCCCCAATGAGTAAGTCACTTTTCTCTCTGAGTCTTAGTCTTCTCTTTTGTCAAACTCAATGGCTTACTTTTTTTTTTTGTTTGGCTAGGCAATGGGATTTAGTGACTTGCCCAGGGTCTCACAGCTAGTAGTAAGTGTTATGTGTCTGAGGCTGGATTTGATTCAGGTCATCCCGAATCCAGGGCCAGCGCTCTATCCACTGAGCCACCTAGCTGCCCCTAAATGGCTTACTTCTAAGGTCTTCTTCAACTGATGATCTTATGGTTTACTATGTTCGCTATGATTAAGATAAGGCACAGTGCTAGGCATTGGGAATACAAAGATGAAACAAGGCTTAGTCCTAGTTCTCAGGGAACTTACAGTATAATAGAGAGATAAGACTATGCATGACTAACAGTAGGACAAATCGGAATTAAATGTAAAGGAGCTGTCCATATGGATGCGATGAGAAATTTTATAAGGGAGAGATCATTTCTACCTGGGATCCCAGAGCTATCAAGGAATCAAAGTATTCCAAGATTGTCTTCTAAATGGAGTATGATTACGTGAACATTAAGTATTAGTCTTAATAATGTGATTTCAAGCTAGTTGAAGGGTAAAGAAATTGGGTTAAGCCTCTTCTGCTATAATTAAACTAGGATTTGAGGATTTAACTAACATCCATCTTCATAGGGTGTTAATCAAGAAACATGTGATATGATATTCTCAAAGAGGTGATGACACATTCATAAAGATAGATCTGCTTCATGTGCTCAAAATATATCTCATGTAACCAGTTTTGGCTTCAAATGACTCATGTTTGCATTTAACATGTTAAATGTTTATTATTATTTCGTGAACTCAACCACATAATATCAGAGCAACAAGAGATCTTAGAGAACAAGTAGTTGAACTTTATTTTACAGAAAAGCAAACTGAGGCATGAGAGGGAAGTCCTCAACCTATAGTCACTCAGTGAATTGATGACAAATAGCATTCAAGCCCCCATCTTTTACTCCTGGTTTTCTGCTCTTTTGCTACTGCACATAGAATCATAGAATCTAAGAGTTGGATGGGACCTTCCAGGGTATTTCATCTAGACCCTACCTGATAGACAAATAAGCTATATAATCCTCAAAAAAAGACATATAGCTTCTGCTCAAACACTTCTAATGATAAAGAATTAGTTTACCTTTCAAGTAAGCCCATTTTGTTCTTAGACAATTCTTATTATTGGAAAGTTCCTTCTTATTGTGAATGAAAATCTCTCTGTGGTGTCAACCCTCTGGTTATAATTTCTCTCTGTGGAATCCCAAGAACATATTTAATTTTTTCCTCCATGTAACAGCCATTCCCACAGGACCTCTCTCTTTGTCCCCAAAGGCAGAATCAGGAAGAATGAGCAGAAAATGCAAGGAGACAAGTTTAAACTTGCCAGAAGAAAATTTCCTGACAATTAGAGCTGCTGAAAAGTAGAATGACAGCCATAGGAGGTGACCTCTTTGGAGGTCTTCAAGCAGAGATTTTCAAAAACCACTTATTAAGCATGAGTTGAATGGGGTGGTGGCTGATGTCCTTTCCAACTCTCAAATTCTCTCAGAGTCTGTGATCCTGTAATGACGTGAAGTCAATAAGCATGGCCTGCTTGTGTCTCTTCATCTCCAGCCTAAATGTCCCCAGTTATTCCAAACAAGTATCAGGAATCCCATCCCCATCCTAGTTATCTTCTTAAAACTATGCTTCCATGCTGTTAATTGTCGTCTTAAAATATCATGCCAAGATCTGGACACAAGATTTCAAGAGGGGTTTGACCAGAACCAAGGATAGTAGCACCATCATCTCCTGCCCTCTGCAGAGTAGACTTCTGTTAATATAGTCTAAAGTTATATTAATTTTTTCTTTTGCTACAATATTAGACTATTGACTTACATTAAATTTGCAGTCACATGAACCATCTATTTAACATAAGCTGCTTTCTTTTTTTCTTTTTTCTTTTCTTTTTTTCTACTTGCCTGGGGTCACACAGCTAATAAATGTTATGTATCTGAGGTCGGATTTGAACTCAGGTCCTCCTGAATCCAGGACCAGTGCTCTATCCACTGCGCCACCTAGCTGCCCCCATGAGCTACCTTCTAACCCCATTCACTTATCTAGTAATTGCTTTTAACCCACTAAAACCAGGCATGGAGATCTTGCGATCTCCCAATTCTGACATATTGTTACATCAGTTACCTTTCCCAACTATATCTCCATTCCTACTACCACAATTAATCACCTACTTATGCTTACTTATCTAATCTTAATAATAGCTAACATTTACATAGCCTTTAAGGTTTATGAAGTGCTTTACAAATATTTTATCTTCACAACAATCCTGAGAGCTAGGTGCTATTATTAGCCTCATTTTACAGTAAAGGAAGCTGAGGCTGAGAGAGGTTAAGTTACTTGTCCATGGTCACATAGGTAGTAAGTGTCTGAAGCCAGACTTGAATTCAGATCTTCTTGACTCTAGGTCCAGTGTCCTATCCACTGAGACACCCAGTCACCTCCTCTTCTGATAACATTAACAAGCCAAGTGTGGAGCTGCTCTGGGATAGATAGGAGTGGGAAACTTAAAGTCTTGACTCAGAGGGGCTGTGTAGAGATTTCTGTTCCTCTTTGTTATGGGTACAGGCATAGGGAAGAGCATTCTACTTTAGCCAGATCCCCCTATCTTGTGCTGTTGATGTTTCTAATCAAAGTCTAGGGCTTCACATTTGTTTTGATCTTCTTAGAGATGACAAAAGATTCCAACTCTTCAAGATCTTTTACATCCTAATTCTATCTTCCAACCTATTAGCTATTCCTCCCAGCTTTTCTCCATCCTCAAACTTGATAAGTATACTATTGATGCCTATGCCAGTCATGGATTAAAAGCAGAACAAAGCCCTGCAGTACTCCACAAGGACTCTGTTTCCAACAATATAGTGTAGGATCCACAATTTGCATTCCCACATGGAGTGGCTATGCTGTTTCTTGTGTCAGTCAACAAACACTATAATGCTTGATCCCCTACAGCCTTCTAAGAACATTGAAGATTCTCCCATTGTACATTTCAGATTAGGGTTTTGTTGATGCTCTAAGCACACAAAATACTTAAATAGATTCAATTACAAAAGACTCTTTAAAATAATAAAGAAAAGCCTAAATAACTAGAGGAATCTTCAGTGCTCATGGTTGGACCATGCTAATATAATAAAAATGACAATACTATTCAAGTTAATTTACAGTTTTAATGCTATATCACACTATCAAAGGGATACTTCAGAGCAATGGTATCAAACTCACATAGAAAGAGATTCCTGCTGGTAGCATATTGACTTAGAAAACTACAAGTTAATATATTTATGTTTATTATATTTTTATTTACTTTGTTATAAATTTCCCAATTACATTTCAATCTGCTTCTGCTGTAATAAGGAGTTTTGCCCAGCATGTGGCTTTACTTTAGAGAGTTCAGTAGAGTAATAACAAAATTCATTTAAAGGAACAAAAGATCTAGTCTCTAAAGTTAGATTCTATTGTTTTGCCACCAACTAGCTATATAACCATTGGTATTTCTGAACCTCAATTTCCTCATCTGTAAAGTGGGGACAATTAGTTCTACTAGTTTTCTATATGATATGGGGAAATCACTTTCCTCTCTGGGACTCAGCTTCCTTTTCTATAAAATAAAAGGTTGAACTAAATGATCCTAAAGGTCCTTTCCAGTTATCACATTCTGTGGTCCTATGATTTTATGTAAATTATCATTGTAACTCCAACAAAAACAGGTTTCTAAGACTCTCCTTTATGTAACTCAAAGCAATTTCCTCATTCTTTTGACGTGGATGTGCCAAGGACAGGGAGAGAAGGCTCATTAATAGATAGTGTATCTTTGGCCAACAATACCGGTGCCACTGAAAATCAGTGCCAACAATACAATATGGGAAATGTAACAAATCCAGCCCAACAAGGAAATTGCCCATTGGCATGAGGAGAGCCATCTTTGGGAAATTAATAACTTCTCTTATAGGATTCCTCTTTCAAACATAAGTTATTATTAGGGAGTGATACAGGGCCACCCCCAGTTGTTCTGACCTATATCTTGCCACTGGACCTAGATGGCTCCAGAGGAGAAAGTGAAGCTGGTAACTTTGCACAGACCTCCTGTACTTAAATCCAATTTATTTGAAAGTCATGGCATCACCTTCTTGATGTCATGGTCCTTTTCGAGAATGAAGGATAAACAACCACCACCACCACCTTTCTTCCTCCCCCCCTTCCCTTCCCTACCCTTCCTTCCTTCCTCTTCCTCTGTCCACATAGGGTATCATACCCTTACCTGCAGGTGCTCTGCCCAGAGGAATGTAAATTTTGATGGTTTAACCCTAGCAAGATAACTTGGAGTTTACTGGCTAGATTTCTCTCTTAAGAACCATGCCTTAAACCCAAATCACTCTGACTTTCATTGATTGGCCAACAACAGGTCCAAGCCTAAGCCCCACTTCCTGTGGTCATTGTTTGGGCCCTGATGGCTAAGAGTGAATGTTAATAGTAATTGTTTCTGTTTGGGCCAGAAACCCTGAAGGTATTCTCCTCCCAGGTTGATTTTTTTTTTGACTAGGTAAAAGGACATTCTCTGCCTCATTTCTTATCTAGCCTTAATGGCATTGCCTCAGTCAAACTGAGACCTATGAAAGACCTTAGCTTAAAAAGGCCAAGGTTTCCTACTGCATTGGGGCCATCTGCAGTCCAGATCTATATCTTGCCAATGGACACAGATGGCTCCAGAGAAGAAAATGAGGCTGGTAACTTTGCACAGCCTTCCCTCACTTAAATCCCATTCACTTGTACGTTGTGACATCACCTTCCTGATGGCAAGGTCCTCTTTGAGAATGAAGGACAAACAATTATTGGGGAGCAATTTCAACTTTACCTACTCATTTTCCCTCATTCCCAGTACCCAAACCCAAGCTCCCAGTCTACCCAGGGAACCCTGTCTACAATAGAAGCTGCAAATCTGCTTGAAGCCAGGAATCAAGGTCCCTCCATAACTCAGCATCTTTATAACCAGAACCCTCTTGCTGAGACTGTCATACACACTAGCTCTCTATTTACTCAGGCTAGGGAAAATGCCTAAACTTGAGGATATGGAAGCAGAATAGTAATGCTTCAAAGTAGTATAAAGTTAGTTCATTTAGTTCAATACTTCATTTTACTGAGGAGGAGATTGAAGCCTAGAGAGGGCCAGTAATTTGCTCAAGAACACACTGGTAGTGAGCAGGGAGCCGGACTTCAAACCCAGGTCTTCTGACTCCAAATCCTGTTCTCTTTTATTCTCAGGACAACAGAGATAGACAAAGGGAAGGCAAAACTTTACATTTTGAGTTTTGAAGTCAAGTCATTTTCTGATGAGAGCAAAGAGTCAGATACAGTCATAAAAACTGATAAGCATCATAAATCTGAAAAATTTATATATTTCCTCAATAGGCAATAACCCCATATTCTCATTCTTCTAGCCCTCTAGTAGTGACATAAATGTTAGATAGATATATTTGCCTCATTTCCATAGATCACACAAAGTCAGGGTTTCTTAATCTTTTTTGTACCATGAACCACTTTGGCACTCTGGTTAACTGCCAACCCATCCAGCAGGCCTTCTGTAGAAAGAGTATCCCAGTCTCCAGAAACACCATGGAACCACTCTTCACAGAGGAAGCCAACTGGATAACCCATTCCTAGTTAAGAACTCCCCTTTTGCTTCCTAAAGGAATAAGAACTGCCCCATTCTCACTCCACCCACATCTCCCTAGACCCAGGAATCCTCTAGACACACGAGTCATAAAATACCTCTTCTGCATTGGAGACGTTCACAAGTTTTTTTGAATGTGCAACATAGCCCACTACACCCATATCCAGAGGGAAGACGATCTCTGAGTCAGGCATCACCAAGCACTCCTCCAAGACTGCATCTTTATGGACGTCGAAGAGCCTCGTGGCAAGCTCCGCGATTCCATTCCGCGCCCGGTACATGAACAGACTCATTCGGTCTGCCTGAAGGAGGAAGCATAACCTCTTCATGACGTTGAGCATAGATTTCTCCAGTTGCAGGTTGTCCTGGAAATCTCGGAGGAGGTCAAAGACAATCTCACTCTCTTCCACACTGGTCAAGGAGTGGAAGTGGCTGAAATCAACAGCTGCTTCCTTGGCACCCAATAGCTCGGAGATGACTCTGGCCCTGAACCGGAGGTTATAGTAGTTTTTAGCAAAGCCAACATTAGCATCCAGGAACTTCTCCACCTCCTCGGCTGTCACTTCCCCCATCTTTGAGGTTAGCAGTCTGCGGTGTTGTAGGGAGACTGAGGCTCACTTTCAGAGAGCAGTTTAAGAGACAAAATGAGTCTATAAGGAACCAAATAGTTTCCTTTCTGACGAACTTAGCTCTGCTTTAGACATGGTCTGGTCTCAGCTATAAGTCCCCTTGAAGCGGGGATCTAGGGCAGGAAATTGGAGGGGGGAGGAGCACAGATTAGGGCATTAATTCCTCCCAGGTATTTCATGGGATTATGTCTCAGTAGAGGTACATCAGAAAGCTATTTAATCATATTCTGTCAGGAGAATCAGAGACAGCACTAGATGTTGCCAGAATCCCAGACGGTTGCTTGAGAACACCCTTACTGACGCTGATCTGGTAGCAACAATCTTACCTTGACACTCCCTGATCAAAGATATTTGAATTATTTCCCCTAGAAAGCCCCCAATTGTCCTTCATAAGATCTATTTTCTTCAGATGGTTAGTTTATAGTAAACTACTCCTGGACATTTCATATATTTTTCAACCTGGATTGTGTGTTGATAAGTTTTTCTGAATTACTTTTTTCCGCTCTTTCTTCCAATAACAAATTCTTTGTTACAAGGGATGGCTCACTGGATAAGAGAGGAGAGAGGTACATTCAGAAATGACATCAGTATAAAAACAGAAAAAAGATTGAAACAAAATTAAAATTTTAAATTTAAAGTTAAATTAAATTTTAAAAAAATTAAATTTAACTTAATTTTTCTTAATTTATAATTCAATTATTTATTGAGTGATTATTATTAATATAATTGTTATTATATATTATTAAATTGTCTAGCAAATAAGTGTTCATTTGTTAATCAATTAAGTTAATAATTTAAATTAAAAACTATTTCTAAGATCCTTCCTACCAGGTTACAAGTGAGGACACATATTGAATATGCAATTGTATTCTGTTTGGGGCATTACATTTTAGGATGATAAGCTAGAAGGCATCCAGTGAAAGGCAACAAAGATAGTGCAGGACCTCGAGTTCCTACCACATGAATATCAGTTGAAGAAAATGGAGATGTTTAGCCTTGAGAAGAAAAGTCTCACGGGGGAACATGATAGCTTGTCTTCAAACATTTGAAGTCTTCTAATACCACTCAAATTAAGACTTGTTTTGTTTGGCACCAAAGGTCAAAGCAATAATGGGATGAAATTGAAAAAAGGCAAGCTTGATAAAAGAAAAAAACTTTCTAACAATCTGAGCTTTCCCCAAGTGGAATGGGCTGCTTCTGAAGATCCCGGTTCCCCCTTCACTGGACATCTACAAGCAAACGTTGAATAATAACTCATTGTGTACATAGTAGAGGGAATTCTTTTTCAGATATGAGTTGGACTTGATGTCCATTGAAATCCTTTACAATCCTGAAATTTTGTGAAACTTCAATCCTAAGACCAAAGGCAAGCAATTTGCCCAAGATCCAATATTGGTAGAACCCAGGTTTCTTGACCTTGTTCTGGATGCTTTGTTTCTATTAATGCAACCTAAGGTTGAATTACTTTTTTTTTTTAATCTCAGTTTGCTGCCTATTTATGTTGAATTTTATGTCTTGATAGGACCCCTAGTCCTTTTCTTGAAATTTTTAGCCTGAAAATCAATCACCATTCCCTCCAATTCAGTTTTTGTACAATTAATTTTTTGAACCCAAGTCTAAGATTTTACTTTTATCCATCTTAAATTTCATCTTAGTATGTTTGGCCCATTGTTCTGATACATCAAGATCTTTTCAGATCATGACTTGGTCATCTAATATATTAGCCATCTCTCTTTGTTTAACATCATTTGCAAATATGATAAACAGGATATCTATGCCTTCATTTATCCATAGGGCACAACAAGTAGAGTTGGAGGGAACTTTACTCATCATCTAGTCCAGTTCCTTCATTTTACAGATTAGGAAATAGAGGGCCAGAAAGGTTGAGTAACTATTCACACAAATAGTAGGAAGCAGAGCTGGGATTAGAACCAAGGCCTAGTGACTGATAAAAGTGTTGAACAAGAATGCATTCTTAAGTAGTCCATTAGAGAATATCCTTCAAGTTGATACATCAACAAGTTCTGAGCCCGCCGATCTTCAAACTCACATCACATTTGGTCCACCAAAATATCTCAAGGAACTTTGCCTGGATTTCTGCAAGATATTTAGCATACTGTAGTTATAACCTTCCTTTAATTTGCCACTCTAGTCACCTTATCAAAAAAGACAGTTAGGTTAGTCTGGCATGATTTGTGTTAATAAGTCCATATTGGCATTAGTCATTACCAGATCCCTATATTAATAAACCATCCATGCTTGAGCATAATCTGTACTGAATTGCAGAAAATGAGGCTACGATTTGTGGTGAATGTCTTATCACTCAAGAGGGGAAGTAGAAACAAAAGGAGGGAGATTCAGATGCCAAGTATGTAATTTGCAAGAAGGTATTCCAATAGCTGTGTTGAAAGCCTCATTGACAGAGATGGCAAAATCTTAGAGTTTTGTTACAAATCTTCTCCCCTCTTCAACAACTTAGCAGCCATTGTTGACTTTTTAAAAACTTTCTTTTTTAAAAATAATTTTATGAATTTACATCACCAAAATTTCTCCTAGTATTCTTCCTTTTCCCCCTCCCAGAGAGCCATCTCATATAACAAATAATATTTTAAAGGGAAAAAAGCAGCAAAACTGAATAGTACATTGGAAAAAAATCTAAACCGATGAACAATGTTCCATACCACTGGACCCCCCCACGTCTACAAAGGAATAGATTGGAAATGTCATATTTCTTCTTTGGGGCCATGCTTATTCTTTGTAATTTTTGCAACATTTACTTGGATTGTTTTGTGATTGCTCTTTCCATTTACATGGGTATGGTTGTTTTATTGTTTTCTTGGCTCTGCATATTTCAGTCTGTGCCACACTGTATAAATCTTTCCATATTTGTCATTTCTTACAGCACAATAATATTCCATTACCTTCATGTACCACAACTTACTTATCAATTCCTCAATCTGTAGGAATATGCTTTGTTTCCAAAGTTTGTTTTTGTTATCACAAAAAGTGCTACTATAAATATTTTTATATATGTGGGTACTTCCTTCTCATCAATGACTTCCTTGGGGTATAAGTCTAGTAGTTGGTCAACAATTATGAACATTTTAATCACTTTATTTGCACAATTCCAAATTGATTTCCAAAATGGTTGGTTTGATTAACAGCTCCACCAACAATGAACTATCGAGTCCATGTTCCCATAACTCCTCCAGCATTGACTATTCTCATCTTTTGTCATTTTTGGCAATTTGAAGAGCATGAAGTGAAATTTTAGGATTGTTTTGATTTGCATTTCTCTTATGATTAGTGATTTGGAGTGTTCTTTCTTAAGATAGTTAACAATTTGCAATTCTCCTTTTCAGAACTGTTTATTCATATCCTATAACCACTTATCTATTGAGGAATGACTTTTTTAAAATATAATTTGAGGTTAGAAGTGCTGCTTACCCTTTATCCCTACCTCTTTTCCTTATTTTCCCTTGATATGCTAGATCTTTCATTTCTTAAAATTAATATTGTTATTTGTTAATGAATTCTGTAAAGTATCCCTTTGATAGTTTAATTGTATAGCATTATAACTTTAAATTAACCTTGGTAGTGTTTTCATTTTTATTACATTGGTATGGCTAAGCAATGAGCACTGAATATTCCTGCAGTTATTTAGGTCATTCTTTCTTTCTTTCTTTAGCACTTTGTAGTTGACTCTATTTAAGTATGTTGTATGCTTTGGTAGATTGGTCCCTAAGCATTCTATGTAATTTATAGTTATTTTGAATGGTATTTCTTTTCTATTATTGACTCTCAGATTTGGTGTTATTATATAGAAGTGCTATTGATTTTCGTAGATTTATTTTGTAGTCTTGACCTTGCTGAAGTTATTGTCTCAACTAGTATCTTTGCTGATTCCCTGGAATTTCCTATGTAAACCATAGTGTTATTAGTAAATAAGGATAGCTTTATTTCCTTTGCCTATCTTTTTGCCTTTAATTTCTTGCTTTTGTCTTACTAATAATGCTAGCATTTCTAGAACTATATCAAATAATAGTGGGAAGAGTGGTCATTCTTACTTTACTCATATTTATTGGGAAAGCATCTAGTGTATTGACATTGCACATGATGCTTGTTTTTTATTTTAAGTAGATACCAAAGGTACTCTATGTTTATACTTTGTAGAGCCTATAGAGAAATATTTTATATATTGTTCAGAAAATCTTATTTTGTTGAACCTAGCTTTAAGTGGCTAGAAAATTATCTAACCCAGAAGTATAGGCATAGAGTACCTTTTTGAATATCATAAAAGTATCTACCTAAAGTAAAAAAACAAGCATCATGGACAATATGAATACTCTAGAAGCTTTCTCAATAAATACAGGAGTAAAGTAAGAAGGGCTATGTTGGGGAGGGAACAAAGGCACTATATTGTTCATATTCTCTCTTCCCAGGGATTTCAGGACTCTGCTTTCTCCTGGTTTTCTTCATTCCTAGCTGACTGCTCCTTGTCTGCCTACTTTGTTGTATCAATGTCTATGCTCCACTCTATGTGTGGATGGACCAGAGTGCTCTTCTCCCTCCCCATCCTCTGTCTCTTTCTACTGCACTACTGCAATAGCATCTTAATTGACCTCCCTGTTTTTACACTCTCACCTCTCCAAATCATTCCATACACATCTGCCAAATTGATCATCTGAAAGCACTGGTCTGGCCATGTCACTTTCTTGCTCAAGATTCTTCAGTGACTCCTTATTGTTGCTAGGATAAAATACATCTTCTATTTGGCACTTAAAAACCCATCACAACTTAGCTCCAACCTATCTTTCTAACATCTTTTCCATTACTCCTCATTGTGTGCTCTGCGTTCCAATCAAACTGGATTACTTTTTATTCCCTATGAATGATATTTCATCTTTGTCCATGCCTTTGCACAGGCTGCCCCACCTCCCCTT